TGATTATGGCAAAACTTAACTTAAATAATAATCACTATTATGGGTCCATAAAACATTTATTCAGCACTTTTGAATGCATACAGTACATTAATTCCAAGTCAAGTGCATTTTCTTTTCTCTGTAGGATAACTACAACAAAGTGCATTCAGAACAAAGCCAAGGTGCTTTAAAACTGCATAAACATCTAGGCCAGTAGGCCTACACCAAAATAGTGTAAATAAAGACTGTAACAGCCAGGCCTTCAACAACAACAAATGCACCTATAAGTTTGGTTTGGTAACCTAACGTGTTGTTGTGATGATGTAATCAAAACGCGGCGACAAGCACGGCGCGCGACCATGCTCGCGGCTGGCTCACAGCCAACATGTCTGCCGCTTGGAGATATTTAAAAATATCAGAGAAAGAGGCGCGGATTGCGATTTGTAAAACGTGTTCAGCTGACATTTCTCGAGGGGGTGTAACTGCAAAGACTTTCACCACTTCGGGATTACTCCACCACTTGAAATCAAAACACCCGGACAAATATGCGGAGTATGATCAACGTAACCCTGTTCTCAGACATTCGGTGATATTTTTTCGGTGCTACAACCCTTTCGGCCGAAAGGGCCTTTTTAACCATTTTCGGCCGATAATTTTCGGTGGCCGAATACTCGGTGCATCCCTAAAATACAGTGACCTAAAGTAACACCACTATATAAACATGTGACATCATCAGCTGCCCTGCGCTTACCTTGCTGGAGCTGAGGCATATTTGGCCCTATTTGAGGACCACGCTGCGGCCCCATGCCAGGATACATTTGCCCAGCATTGGGGGGTATGTTGTGGGGCTGCTGGTGTTGGGGGTGTGGAGTAGACAGAGGGATTTGGGGAGTTCTCTGGGTCAAAGCGTTGGGTGTAGGCTGCAGGGCTGTGTAGCCTGAAGCCTCTGGGGGTACGGCTAGTCCTGCGGTAGGGGGCCTGCCTTGTTGGGGAGGTGGTGTCGGGGTCCCCAAAACCCTCATGGGGGACATGGATGAAGGGGAGGAGTAAGATCCCTGAGCTGGGGGGGCAAGGTGGGGCTGGTTTTGGGCCTGGGGAAGATTCTGGGGGTGCATAGGCTGCCCCTGCTGCTGCATCTGGGCAGAGAGGGCCTGATGGGGCTGGGGTTGGTGCGCTGGTGCGGGGGGGTATCGCTGCCCTGGTTGGCCAGCTGCTGGGACTGATCCCTGGGTAAACCTCTGGCCGAGCTGCCCTGGTCCCATGGCCTGGCTGGTGTTAGCATTGACATTAGCACCCTGACCCATCCCGGGTCCCATGGCTCCGTACTGTGCCTGATAGCCGGGGTACTGGCCGGCCCCAAACCCTGTCATACCCGGCTGGTGCTGGTGTGAAGGCTGTCGGGAGGGGGAGTGTGGGAACCGGGATGTGTGGCCCATGTTGGGATAGCCCTGGGGTTGTGACTGGGGCTGGGGATGACGCATCTGGGCGCCCCCCATTCCAACATGTCCCAGGTAGTGTGCTGGGTCCTGAGCGGTGGGTTGTGCCATGCTTTGTGGGGGATTTGCCATGCCCTGTGAAGGGTAGTGTTGGTTCATGCGAGTTGCATTTGGTGTGGGGGGGCCCTGCATCCCACCATAGTTGCCTTGAGACATCTGGTAGCCCCCCAGCTGGTTGGGGCCAGCCCCAGGTTGTGCAGGAGGCTGCTGATAGGCTGATCTGCTCGGCAGCGGCTGCTGTTGGCCCCAGACAGCAGCCCCACTTCCTCCTGCAGCATCACCCGGGTACCCATGGTGGCTGCTGCCAGAGTTAGCAGGGTTATTATGGTAGTGGGAAGCCAAGCCATTCATTGCTGTGTTCACGTTAGGTGGCCCCTGGCTTGGACCGTTCGGGGACATCATTCGTCCTGCGGCAGCTGCACCAGGTTGATCGTAGCCCGTGTAGGGGCCATGGTCATACATTTGTCCCAGTTTAGGCTGCCCTGGTCCGTGGATCATCCCTTGGTGGTAGCCCCTGTTTCCCTGGTGCTCATGGTTCAGAGAGGGATTATTTTGCTGGGCTAAAGGGTTGGATTGTGCAGGGGCAGGCTGCTGAGGAAAGCAGTCTCCTAA